TGCTAGTTGAAACTCATTCAAATTTTTACCCAAACTCAACTCCAAGATGCGACTGATCGCTCATCAGCATCCTGTGTTACTCTAAAGCGCATGCTGTGGGAATTGTGCATCTTTTCTTCACTCCTCCAGCAATATGGTTAGGCAGGTTCAGTTATCACATATTAGTTGTGATATGAGCATGTTATGGATTGATTGAACTCTGCCTTAGCAGATTAGTCTTAGTAAGTTTGAGAACTTTCTATAGGAAATGATGTATAACACTTTTTTTGTCAAATAACGCACATTTCCTAGCGTAATTCCATTTTTCAGTTCCTAATGAAATTCTGACCTATTACCTAAGTCTCTGTACCCTTCTCTGCACGTCAGAAAACAAGGTGGTTTTTTTGCTTTCTTCAGTTACCATACATTTGGGAAACCAGATTATTAGCAACTGGGCAATGCTACTACCTAGATACAAAAAATAACGAGGCAGGTAACAATTAACCGTTTTGGTTTTTTTAAAACAAAGTGATGCTGAACACCGGTTACTAAGAGCATGGAAAGGGAATTCAGGTTGACAGAGGAAGGCAATATTGGCTAAAAGTATCCAAGGAATTAAAATGATTCAGTTTGTACATTTTCTGGGCTATACTTGCCAATGGCAACGGTGCTTTAGGTATGTTCTACCCACCACCTGTGTCACAAGGAGTTATTTTTAACCTGGTTTCCTCAAGAACTGAAGCTTACGTGAACAGACTGTGTACATGTGCAACTTTGACAACCTCTCGCCCCATCTAATACCTTGGGACTCTCTTGGCCAATTCAGTCCAATCTGCAGAAGGGCAAAAGTCACAAAGTCATTAAATTCTTACAAGCTTTGTGGAAATAGGTGTCCAGATAAAGGGGGAATCCTGTTATTATCCTAAATCAGGGCCATCCAAGAATCGCTCTGGCATTCATCCTTCAGCTGCAAGTACATAGAAACTGCCCAGGGTGCTGTTCCAATACTTTCTTCCTGAAAAATTAACTCCGTGGGTTTTAATATACCAGACACTAGTAAGCCTCTCAGCTTACTCTAAAAACATCTTTTTCAAGACACACCAAAAGCAGCAACATACTTTAGTCACGATTTGGCACCATCTTTTAGATGAGTTCACACTTCAGTGCATTTTGTTATCAGAAGCGCATGAGAACATTGCACCTGGAATATACAGACTGAAAAAGTATGAGAGCTTCAATTTAAATTTGCTGACTTCCACTAGTTTGACACCAATAAACAAACTATTCCGTCAATTCTCTAAGGTAGATGCAACCCATGGGAATGATATGTGCAAAACTCTTTAGGCATTAAAACATGTGTAAATTATGTTAACAGGGAACTGCCCAAGCGAAAAAAAAAAAATTAGTCAGGGAAATAACACATTTAAGAAAGTTCAATTATCAAGATTATAATTCCAGGGATATGAACTTCTCCAGCACCAAACCTGACATTACTACCATATTTTTTTCCATCCTTACATCTTATCAATGTGAATATATACAATAGATAACACCAGACTCTCTAACGAGGTAAAAATGAGAAAGTACCTTTGCTGGTAATACTGAACTCCACTACCAGGGAAATTTTGTCTTGCCTTTATGTGCATCTTTAATGCTATTCCTTGTTCCCCCTTTCACCCCAGCTCTCTATGATTTTTAACGTCTTTTCAACATATTCCAGGCAAAATTCAGTTTGGCCAGCTGTAGGCTGCTTCAAGGCACAGGAGATGATAGAGAACTACACAGTAGTTTTATAACTGAATACATAGTTTAGACAATTTGCTGGATTTTAAAAGAGTACATTAGCTTTACTGGGGTATGTTAGGTAAGGTGAGACAGTCCTCTCTTCTCTATGAATATATTACAAACGTAACCAGATGACTCCTAAATAAATGATTCAAAGCAAACTTACACACTACAAAAAAAAAAAAAAATCAGCATAACCAGGTGAACGTATACATAAAGCAATATATTAAGTATACTTTTCTTCAAGCACGACAAATCATGGTATTATTTTTATGATGAAAACATGGGAAAAAATACCAGGATCAGCTTTTTAAAAATGATTTAGAATACCAGCATAACTCATTTGAGAGGTATGAACATATATGACTTTGAAGCAATGATTCCCTCTTAAATACAATACTTCACAGCAAGAGAAAGCATTTGTTTCTAATGTTGTCTCCCCCCACATTTCACATCTATCAATTGAAATAAAGTCAGAGAAAACATTTTGGTTTTTAGTTCCACATCCAAGGAGCATAGCGCTGACACATCAGGCAACATGGTTGCCTCATGAAAACACATCTTTAGCCAGAGCAGCAAAGCCAAGATTTATAGCACGATGGTCAGAAACATGCCACTCGTTTCCCCCTTCCTTCAGACTACAGCCCCTGGGGTGCCGGTGACTGTTAGGGCAGGGGAAGGCATACAGGCAACCACCAGGGCTATTGCTCCCATGAACGTTGCTTTGACATCGGTGTACTGAACAGGCTTAAGTGAAAAATAATTTCGTCATAAGCCCGGTGAACTCCTTCCCCATTTTGTTATTACTATCCAGAAAATTTATGACGAAAGAGATGTCTCCTCCCCTCTTCCTCATTCCGTATTTCTGCAGCATTTTAGGATATTTCTGAGCCTTTCAAGACTCTCCCTTGACTCAAATCCTAGCAGTACATGCTTGTGATACATAAATATTTGTTTATGCAAATATATTTTAATTCAAACATTTAATCTTGCCAGGTAAACATAAGAAAGATAACACTGATGTACTTTTCACAGAAGACTTAGCTCATGGTTTTAATTTCCTGTTTTTATTAGCTTACCTCACTTGACGAAAATACTAACACATCGTGAGAAGTACATTCTCTTTTCTGGTTTCTCAAGAAAACGCTTTGTTGCTACCACCTCATTAGAGGCATCAGCTTTTAATTGGAACAAGTTTTAAACTGAAAGAAGCGATTGAAAAAACGGTGCTGACGTGCCACCGCAGTGCTTTAAATGCTCGCTTGCTCATATCTAAAGTTGTTTTTATGCTGAATATCAATATGCAATTAGAAAGAGACAATGTAAGTAGTGCTGGGCCTCCGCAGAATACTCTTTCAGCGTTTGTAAGCTCCCTCCTTGTTTATGCTGCCGGAGTCTATCAAACAACTCTCATGTTGACACAATCAAGCAACCAAAATGAATGGCTATAAATACAGTCAAAGCAAGCAATAACAATAAGCAGAACCACTAAGCCCTCACTGGAAGATGAAGCAGCATTTCTGAGTGAGCAGTATGTGATTAACCTGCTGTATGTGGGGTCAATATGATTTATTCTCACAGCTATGCAGCCAGCCTTAGCCCTGGGCCTCACTTGCTGTCAAAGGCAGGAGCCTTCCTCAACTCAACCCTCCCCTATGCCTAGCCAATACTCTGAGCTCTTATTTTGGAAAATTAGTATCACATCCTTCATTTAAATTATTTCCACCCCTGCTTGGAAATAACTGTTAGCATAACAGACAGTTTACCAAGTCTGCTTTCCAGTCTCCAGTTCATCTATCTGCTGCTTGCAATGCTCCCACAGCAGATCTTGAAAACCACAGACAGGGGGGAAAAAAAGGAGCACATATTTTGTCTCAATTCTAAGTATTGTTAGAACAGTACTCTCTTAGCCCAATACCAAAGAATAAAAAGCAGTAGCCCATTACATTTTAAGACAATCAAGTGGTTCAAAATAGAAGGACAGGGACAGTACTGGCTTTGGTTCAAACATTTAACAGAAACTCCACATTTCATTAAAAAAAAAAAAAACTACTTTGCTTGGAGGCACAAACCTCTTACCTTTTGTAGCTATTCGAACACACTGAGTTTTGGTTTCCTGTTGAGGAGGGAAAAGTAAAGAAAACAGTCAGATCAGGTTGCTTTTTTTTGCCCTCCCTGTTCCACAAATTCACCCGAGATCTGCTGATCAGCTGGGGCAACTCAACAAGGCGGCTCAGGGCTCTGGACTTAGCAGGAGAAAGGAGGCTGAGTGATTTTACCTTTACAAAAGCTGGATGAAATCTAGACATTGATCTGGACTATCCAGGATAACGATGGGGAGAGAAGGCCCAGATGCAGCCAAATTTCAGATTGTTCAAATCAAATGGAAATCATGCCATAAGAATACAGAGAGAGGGTGCAGTGGAAGAAAAGGGGAGGGTTGGTGCTCCTGTTCATTTCATGGCACAGGAATCCCAAGCCAACATGGACCTCCAACGGCACCATGCAGCAAAGAAGGTACTTTTTCTCAGCACTGTGTCCAAACTAACTTGTCTTGCTGCATCCTGATGGTCTTGAATAGAATCACCTGAAGCATGTCAGCAACACGCTCCCTCATGCTTCTGAGGGTGGAATTAGCACAGAAGCGGCCCAGGTGTCCCTTCACATATGACACAGTTAATCAACAACCTATATAATTCGCCCAGGAAAGACAGTGATTTGACACTGATGTGCTTCAGAAGAAGTTGCACATGCAAATACAATTTTTATGTTTTTACCCCCTTTTTTTTTTTTCCCCCCCGTAGTTTGGTTAGCAATTGAATCAAATGAATTTTTTTTTATACAATTTTTATTTTTTTTCCCCCCTTTTTTTTTTTTCCCCCCCTTCAGAAGTTTGGTCAGCAATTGAAACAAATGAACAGAGAAATGACTTGGTTATGCACAGTTTGGACAACTTGAACAGACAAGGGTCAGTCATAAATGGGTTTTCTGACCTTTTTGTACAATGTGCAGTCATTTTAAAGGCAAACATACTGAAATAGCATAAAGTTGCATGAGAGGATGCAGCTGCCGCTGTATTAGATCACTCTAAACAATATTAGTGTGTAATTAGAAAATATAATAATGACAGTTTCATTCTATAAAATGTGCTCCCTCTAGTCCTGCACCCCCCAGCACTCCATCCCTGAATACATCCCCTGGGATCTCTCTCCTCTTGAAGACTCCCCAAGCAACAGGTAAAATATATTGATGCTGTTTTGTGAACACAGCTTGTGAAGAACGAGCAAAGCTGTGAGTTGAGGCTTCCCACGAGTGTTCCATAAAGACAATCTGTTGATCTAAATGAAAGCCCCGCAAAGTTTATTGATATAATCTTACCTAATTAGCATTCTCTGCAGTTACTGGATTTACTTGTCCACTTTTGTTCAAAATGTCCGTGAGGATCACAGAGTAGCCCTCATCCCAACCCTACAGCGTATTTCAGAGCACACTTTACTTCCCTTTGACTATTTCAGTGAGCCCACTGCTTTATAGTAAAGCACCTGTTTAAATATTCTCCAGCTCAGAGGCTATCTTAAAACCAACTAGATCTCTCTCCTGGCAGAACGCAGTGCAGTCCACCTAAAAACTCCCCCCAAATCCCTCTAGGAACAGAACTCTGATCCAAAGTTTTAAATCATACCAGAGAAAACCATTTTAGGATTAAACTCTCTCACAAGCTGAAATCAAGTTAAAATGAAAAATAACGTATTTTTCCCTCATCTTCTACTTATCTGTCAAAATGTAAAAGCCAACATAAAGATCTATTTTAGCATTTAATATTTTTGTTTTACTTTTCCCTCTCATTTATTTCTTTGGGAATGAAACAAATTTCCTTACAATTTAGTCAGCTGGAAGCCAACAAAAGCAGGTGAGGGAAGTATAAATGAGCAGCTGACCTTTTATTTTGCTTTGTTTGCTTCATACAGGTCTATAGATAAGAACTAACTAGAAAGAGGGAATAGTCTCTTCATTCAGAAAGAGCCTCAAAGTTCTCAGGCAGCTCCAGTACAGTTTCATTAGTTCCTGCTTCTTCCCCATTCAGCCTTGATGCAAATGCGATTTTCATAACCACAGGTAGAAGATGAGATTTTCTTCAAAGGGCTCCAAGGTAAGGCTGCCTGTTAGCTAGGATTTGTTTAGTTGCCGCAGAGACCCAAATGTAAGAGAGGGTAAACACGGCTTCTGCTCCTTCCCGATGGCTCTGGTGTGTCTCAGTGGCTATCGATCTGGTTTTTCTTTCTAGCTCCTTTCTGACCTGCCTGGACACTTCCTATGGAGATTCTTATGGACAGATTGCTGATATTTCCTTCAGATTTCTAAACTATAAATCAAAAATTTAAATTTTAAATATCTGAAGCTTCTGTGCCTACCATCTTTTCCCTCTGCACCGATCATTTCCCCCTCCTCCATTTTTCATTTATGAGAAGAAAAACCATTCAAGAGCAACAGCACGGGGCTTGCAGAGTTCTTCCCACCTGGAACCTCCCTCCCTGGTGCTTCTCCCGCTTCCATATGCACAGACAGCCAAGCAGCATTACTCAGCGACAGAGTTAAAAATAAAACACCAAGGTGGCAACGAAGCGGAGCGACAGCCATGCTCCTGCTACTGCACAGCAGTGGAGCAAGCCTCAAGCACTCCTTTTCAGAAAAGCTCTCGAAAACACACCGTGGGCCTGGGGTTACTTTTGCCCCAGCAAATTTTTACTTTTTATTTGACATTCGGTGCAAGAGTCCTGAGAAGTTTGTAATGTTTTATTAGCTTGCTGAGCAGCCCACGTTCTCTTCATCCTGCGGTAATTTAATCTTCTGAAGTGCGCAAGTACTGAGGATTGGAGAAAGGGCTGTGTATGTTATTTACCGAGGAGGCAGAGTCACAGCACTGAAATTACTTCACTGAGACGATTACTACAGGAGGTATTAAACTCTCATCTAGTAGCAGTGACCGTGATACAAGGGCGGTGTGAAACGTGAATGTCACGCTGCCATGCTGCCACAGCATGGAAGGGATTACAGCCCTGCCATGGCCGACACCTGACTACATCCAACTTTGACCGTCCTAATTGTCACCACGGGCATGTTGTTTGAATCCTTCCAGGTGAAAGGTGTGGCTGGCACTTACCTTCTCAACGCTGCTCATGGCCTGGAAATAGATGTTGTAGCCTTTCCGAGGAGCCAGCGGCGGGTTCCAGAAACCCTGGTAAGTCCTGTTGTCGCCCACGGTAAAGGGGGCTTGCTCCGGCAGCTTTCCTGGGGGCAGCTCAGCAGCAAAGTAATACGGCGACCCTCCGCTAACAGCGGTCTGATAGGTGACGGGGATTTGGTAGCACTCCATGGCACCCGTTTCTCGCTTTGTTCGGTGGGGGTGCAGCTCCTCAACAACGATCTGGTAGGCACTAGTGAAACAGAGGAAGACCAGCATACCTTTAAGCTCAGCTGCTAGGGTCAACTCGCTAGTCTCATAAAAATATTCACCCAATTGCTTTGTGTAAACTTGAAAAGAAAACAAGGAAATGAAAAAAGGAAAAGACAGCAGACGCATGGGTGCAGAGAAGAAACAAAGGCTTGAAATATAGCAAAGCTATCTAGTTCAGCCATTGGAAAGAAGCATCATCCATTTTTTTCAGGAAAAGCAACAATACAAATGTACACACAACCTGCTGACCCTTTTTTTTTTTTTTTGTAAAACCTTTTTCTCTTTTGAAGAAATGCAGGAATGAATCTGACTTTAAACTACAATAGATTAAACTCTTGGCTAATGGGAAGCATCTGAAGTTAGCTTTTTCCTTTGAAATGATATTAGAGAAAGCTGAGCTTCAAGGCCCCACATAATGACTGCCTCCAGGCTGTGCTTGAAGCACCAATTTGCAGTTGTCATATCATTTGAGACAGAATGTGCTGACAGGCTTCTCCACCTCTTGACCTTGCTGTGGCTTCTATCTTGGCTCAGAGCTATGCAGATCTAAAGTACAAGTGACATGCTGTAATACAAGCACAGATGGACAGAAATCTGTCCATTCCACCAAAATAGACTGCCTCATTCCTCTACAGTTGTCAATGATAAAACGTTACAAATTGCTGAAGCAGATGGCATTCGGCCTATTAAAACCCCATCCCAACTTCCCAATACCTCTCTTGAAATGGTCAATGCCTTGGTCACTTTTCAAAATCATCTACTCAAAACAGAACAGGTAATTATAATTCTTCTTTCTCCTTTAGGGGAACTACCTAACTGCAGGGTGTTACCAACTCATTATCAGCTTCCTCTGCTCTGCAGAAGAACAGAACTTACATACTGAGAGCAGTTTATATGAAAAAAAGAAAAACAGTTGTTTTGATTTGAAGAACCACATGTAAGCATATGCGCATATACACACACCTGTATACATGCAAACAATTTCTCATTTACATGCAGATACATTTGAGGACCTTATGAAAGACGAGTAAGAAAATATGCCTAAGCATGTAGACGAGACCTGAAGGTATTCAATTAAACTGGCAGAATTGCCTGTCTTGCTTTTGTTTTACAGATTTCTAAACAGAAAATGTAAAATTGAAGAGAGTTCTGGAAGCGTTGCTGCAGAGACTCCGAAAGGCAAAGACAAAGGCAATCCTCCTCATTTCAGAGCTTATGGGGCAGCAATAAATTATTTTGTCAATTTTCTCTGCTACTGCTGCCCAGAAACCCCAATAACTGTAGTGGCAGAGATGAAGTATGATACTGGGGAATGGAAGAAAGGAGAGAAGAAAAAAAATAAGAAATTAGTTTCATGTCTTTCTTGAGCTGAAAGAAGAAGTTTGCATCCCCTTTTCCTAACACCTAAAAAATTAAGAAGGAAAGCTTCTTCCCTTTCAAAATGATGAAGAGGAATATTAAAAGTCACCTCATTTTTGAAACTCTAGGTAAAAAGAAGACCGTAAACAAAAAAATGATGAGTTAGTTCCAGGGATTTCTGTTTCTCATAAACTGTCTGGGAACTGAGCTTGGTTATAAATCACCTTCTGTGGTAACCTCTATGTATTAACCATGTCCAGTTCATGCGGCCTACACCAACAAATCACTTCCACAAGTCCCCTGCGCACCCAGAATCTTTCTTTATGCTTCAGAATCAATGTTCTAGCACAAGAATCTAAAAGCATCGATATTTTACAAACTTGACAGGATGTAAAATATTAAAAATAATTTTTGTTTATAGTGCCCCAAGGGAAGAAATGACTACCGGTGTTCATCTCCTCCCTGACCTGGCCCTGGCCCCAGGCAGGGTTAAAACCATCGCTCCTGAACTGGGGAGCCAACCAACTGGAGAGTACTGGGAACACAGACACCATGTCTCTGCTCCCTCCACTCTGCAGCCTTCTCTCGTGAGCTGCCAAAGGACTGGACCAACACAAATTCTGCTTTCTGAAGCGCCAGGAGAGTGGGAAGCTTGTCATCTGCAACACCCTGCCAACTTCGGAGGAGAAAGCCAGCAGGGAGAGCGGAAGGACAGCGCGACGTCTGCACATGACGAAGGCAACCGACCCCTGGAACAGCCTGGTTTGTCACACAGACAAACTCAGAAGCTGAGATCTACCACAGTTTCTGAATTAAATCCTCCCCCCCCATGCCCTTTAAAGACTAAGGGGTAAATGAGGCATCTTTTTTTAAGGCGCAAGTCTCTTTGGAGACCAAAACAAACCAAAAAAATCAAAGATGAAGGGCATGAAGATTCAAATATTAGGTAATATTTGAGGTATTATTTGGCAATATAAAAGGTATGGCAAAATTTTAAGCATGAGATTACAATTAATGTGAGTGTTCTGAAAAATTTTCAAATAATTTACATAAAATATGCTCTCATTTATATAAAACATGCTTCCAAAAATAATGATTTTTGGGCTGCTACATCTGAAAAGCTACAAAATGTGGAAAATAAGAAATAGGTATGCACGTTGTAGCCATCTGCACTTACATAATTACTTTTAGTTAAAGAAAGAATAGCAAATGACAGAAAGTCTTTGAAGTCTCCAAATGAGGCTTGATTTTTAATTTTTCATTTTTTTCTTAAATTTTCACAAAGTATTTTTTAAATAAAAGACGTGCCTATCCTCTTTGGAAAGGGGATCTGGCAGTATTTTGCATGCAACATTATAGGCTAACAAGACACGGAGGAATACAGACTTTTACCCCTGGGCCCTTTGTGATACCATCTGTTTAAACCCATTTACCAACACTAGAGTGTCTCCAAAGCAGCACTGTTACTCTATTACACAAAATAGTATTCAGAAAGGACGCCCTGCTGTAAGATGTGAAGAAAGAAGACAAAGTTAAATTTGCAACTTGAAAAGCGGGGTGTTCACCAGCTGCAAACGTGGTCTGGTATCAGGCTGTAAGTGAAAGTTTAAAGGCTATGTACTCTGCTTATCCTTGCATTTTTACATGTTACTAATCCTAGCTTCAATTAGCTTATGTTTTGTACACTTTTTTTTGTGTAATGGTGGGAATTCAATTACTGAGAGAGTTTTCTTCTGACCGGAGCTGAGGGAATTCCTCAGCTACAACAGCTATTTTTTTCTCCAGTCTTCCCACACAGCAAACGAGGAATAAAAGAGAGAAAGAAAGAGGGAGGGGTGGAAAACCTAGATGACAATATTCCTTCTCCTTGATGCCTAAAATGAATTCTGAGCTATTTTGAAGAGTAATACACATTTCAGAAGCTTCTACATAAGTTGCCAGGATCCTAAAGGCCAAGCAGTTGTCTGAGACAGCCAGGTAAGCAGAGAAAGTGCTGAAGATGTAACAGGTGAAGAGCTCCTCTGCTGAGATTTTGTATGAGGAAATTATTTTTGATGCCAAAAAACTCTTCCTTAAGAAAACCTGCACAGAACCTCCCTATTGACCAAGACGATTACACGCTGCCTAAGGAGGCCCCTGCCAACAGATCTTCCTTTTTACCCCTCCCTAAAAACTCAGGCTCTCCAACAGGTACTGCAGTGGTGAACACATTGTTCATACTTCAGTCCTGTTCTGACTGGGCTTTTAATATCAGCTAGGGATTTCCTTCCACACGTCTCGTGGAGACACAGCATCCTCTCCTTTGACAGGTGCCAGACTGACTGACAGCCCAAGTTACAACCTGAGCTCTTGCAAGTCCCAACAGCTAAGTTCTAGCTGCTCCCTGCCACAGTCCACTTAATTAGCCTTTGTGTAAAATTAAAAAAAACTTTAACAATCAAATAAAATAAATTTCATAATTAAAAAGTTGTCTATGCTGATTCTGATATATGCGCTTCATAATCCTCATCTGCAGTAGGATTTGAAAGCAGAAGATTGTTTTGCTGGTGCTCAGTTAGGATCCTTCAGAAAAAGCACAGTGACAAATCACGTCTTCAAATGAATTCACTGCAGCACCATTGATGCTACCGACTGGGATCTCACCCACGAGACTGATGGTGAAACAGCACGCGCTTCACAGTGAACCCGAGCCATCCAGCCCCGGCTCCCTTTGCATTTTGCGTTTGTAATTTGGCTTAAAACTTCAGGAGGCTGTAAAGAATGCTAGAGATTACACGATAACATTTGACAGGGAAGTTATGATTAGAGTCATGTTTAAACTGTGATGACTATGGCACATAGTGTCTTAAAGAAATGATTGACAGCTGCACATAGATTACACTTGAGTTAAAGAACATCTGTTTCCTGGGGGGCTGTGCTGATGGAGAGGCTGAGGTATAACAAGATCTGATCATAGTATAATTCTGTTTGTAAGAGCAAAAGAGTATCAGCGTAAATCAGACTAAGCTTTTTTTTTTTTTTTTTTCTTTTCTGATGGTTTGGGGTTGTTTTGTGTTGTGTTTTCTTTTTTTTTTTTTTAAAAAAAAACCCCATGCACCTACTGCTATTAAATAAAATGATCTTTTGACCATCTACAGCTCCAGGGATTAAAGGACTAAGTGCAAAGAAGCCTTTTCAAAAAGCCAACTGCATTCTTCAGTGTCAGGCTAAAGAACAGCATTTGAGTCCCTTCTACTCAGTCACAGCTGCAGGCGCAGCAATGCACTTTTTTCCCCACCTACCTAGTAACACTCATTATGGCAGCAAGCCAGCTTGTAGTGGAAACACAACTGCAGTGTGGATGGAGTGAAGCTTCACTAAAACGCATCACAAAGCTTAGCGAAATGCCTTGAATCAATTCAAAATTTCAGCGTGCTACATTTATCTCCCCTATTAGAAGCTGCCAAAAAATACCTGACTGCAATATGCGTAACTTCAGGAAAGAGAATGGGACCATGTCTTCTGCAATTCCCTGGAGAATGCCCCTCATTCAGAGTAAGGAATAAAACACCTGTTTTGTTTTAAAAATAAAGCCCAGCTCTCCGGTTATGGCGGAAGACTTATTTCCTTGGCCTCCTGTCCTGGTTTCAGCTGGGATAGAGTTAATTTTCTTCACAGTAGCTGGCATAAGTGCTGTGTTTTGGATTTAGCATGAGAATAACATCCATAACACGCTGATGTTTTAGTTGTTGCTGAGCAGGGCTTACACCAGTCAAGGACTTCTTAGCTTCCCCTGCTCTGCCAGGGGCACAAGAAGCTGGGAGGGGGCATGGCCAGGACAGCTGACCCCAACTGGCCAAAGGCATAACCCACACCGTATGACGTCATGCTCAGCGTATAAAGCTGGGGGAAAAAGAAGGAAGGGGGGGACGTTCGGAGTGATGGCATTGCGTTTGTCTTCCCAAGTAACTGTGACACGTGATGGATCCCTGCTTTCCTGGAGATGGCTGAACACCTGCCTGCCCATGGGAAGCAGTGAATGAATTCCTTGTTTTGCTTTGCTAGTGCACGCAGCTCTTGCTTTACCTGTTGAACTGCCTTTATCTCAAACCAGGAGTTCTCTCACTTTTAGTCTTCCAATTCTCTCCCCCATCCCGCTGTGGGGGGAGTGAGTGAGCGGCTGTGTGGGGCTTAGTTGCTGGCCAGGTTTAAACGACAACTCCTCCTTATGTTAGAAACTTAATGTACTCTCTTAGGTTTTAGAAATTAATTGAAGTGGAGAGAGAAGATGGGAGAGAGGAAGAAAGATGTATACTTTTTGAGAACATACTCAAACAGTTATTAATAATCTATCAAACTATCGCTACCGAACTATCTATTAATGTTCAGTACATAGATCCTTTTTGCTACCTTCATAGGCCACAGTGACAAGCTCATGCCGTAGGACTGAGGATGCTATAAGGAAAATTGGGAGACTGAACATGAGGGGCTGTGCTGCAGGTCCACTCTGCAGTGAGTTGCACGCCCTCCAGTAGAGTGCAGAGAAACCAGAGCTCCCAGACCCAGGTACGAGTAACCCTCCAGCCACCTCCCGTCACGCTACCAGTTCGCAAAAGAAAATCCCCGGGAGAGAAACCCAGGATGCAAGACCGACCCCCCTCAGGGTGCGCTGCGGGACTGAAGACGGGAGCCTGCTGATGTCCGCACAAACGTGCCAAAGACCAGTTGGTACGGAGCAGATGAGCCCACTGTCAGCAGATCCCAGTGGTGTCTGGCAGGCATGCTCTGGATGAGTCTATGCACCAGCCCCCTCGGGGGACCGGGCTCATGGCTGAAAGGATTTGGCATGGATTAGATGAGAGAGAGATACAGCATTTCTCAAACAGGGATAGCTTTGGCCAGCAGCAGGACACCTGGAAGGCTTTAAAAGCACCTACAAAGGCGTACAGTGAGTTCAAGCACCTGTGTAACTTGGGAGCATTTTCAGATCACAGGTCTGGTTTCTACTGTATCAGTTCAACAAAACCCCTATTTTAGGATCCAAGTCCTGTACTGAATGTAGTCCTGTAGATCTTATCATTCTTCACACTCAAAAAAATCCTAGGTGTGCTCCAGGGCAACCTTTTGGAAACTAATGATGTACGGGGTTATGATTTTATTTATGACGTAACACATCAACATCTGTAACGGGGATGAACCTGAATTATCTGCTATGACAGAATATAAATAAATAACTTGATCATATCAATCATAAGGGTGACTATATGATAAGCATATAAAAATGCTTATAGGTACGTGACTCAACACCCAAGTAAAACACACGTTCCTCTCAATGCAAGCAGACTTAAGAAACAGCTAATTTTCCTCTACTTTTAGGACTCAGGCGCATTACTCAACATCAGCTGAGCCACAGTAACCTACTTAATGTAACACAGAATTAAATGCATTAGCCTGTATTTCTCTAAAATGTCACAAGGGTAACAGCATGAAAAGGTTCTGATGCTCAGTAGCTAATTAACCCCCAATTAGTCAACCCTGTCCCTGAATACTGCTGATGCAGCCACATCAGTAAAACACAAATGGCATCAAATAATATCACAAAATTTTTGCACTAACAAGTAGAAGTAAAGAGCAGGATGTGGACTAATCTTTGCAAACAGAATTAAATTATCTCTCAATAGAGAGCAGAAAGGGAAAGACCCCTCAAAGTTAACATAAATGAAACATTTTAATATGATTATGGGACACGTCAAATAAAATTTAATAGCTTGCTACATGATTTCTAGTAAGAAGCACTCTGAGAGGAAAAAGGTCAAATAGTTTGTATTCATCACTATTATTCTCCCATTTCCTCTGAGCTTCCAATTTTCCAGTCATACATATATGCTATAGAATAGCTGATTTGAAGCACTGGAGAGGAAGTGTTATTTTCAAATGCACTTTCTGACAAACACCTTTCAACCTCATATTTCAGAGAAACTGTGAGAAAGTAAAGAGAAATGATAATGGATTGGAGGTGGTCTTGGGGACCCTAAATCAAACAGGACAGATAGCTGGATGAATAAGGTCAAAAAAAAAAATTCTTATTAATTACAGATCTGTTGGTAAGCTCATTCTAGCTACGAAAAATAATAGTAACGTCAAATGAATATCACTTGGAAATGAACAGCTTTATGAGCTGCGAGACAGAATATAATCAACAGAAAAATCGCTTCTTGATTTTTTTTTTTTATATATATTTTTTTTTTTTTTTATTTACCTGATAGGTGCACCTTTGGCCTGTGCCGGTCTCAAGAGTACAGTTATTGTAGTAGCAGTTTCATTGAGAGATGCATCGACTCCTTCATAGTCCGGTAAAGTGGGAGCTGATTAATGTTGAGTGGGAAGGAAAAGAACAAGAAACAAATCAGTGAAAACATTTTGAATTTTCCTGAGATTGTGGCTGTTTGCAGTATAGTACAAAGCCACAATCTTCATCAGCTACGTGAGCCTTTTTTAATGATTTTCCAGTCAGGCGCAATCTTTTACTAGAGCATCAATGGGACTCCACCAACAACTGATAACCCCATCCCTAGCTGCTCCCCATCAAATTGCTATACCTATCTAGTAAACAGGTTTATTCAAGAAAGGCAGAAAGAGAGGAAGGAGGTGGCTGCCAAGAAACACTAAGAGCACAAAATCCCATTTTGGCCTCGCTCTTTCTACCTTACAAACAACTATATTCACCATCTTGAAGACCCACCCCTACTACCTCTCTTTTTCCTCCTCCAACAATTTAGGAGCCTTTCACATTTGCTCTTAAACATCATGGGAGACCACGCCAATACCAGCCAAGCTGCAGGAAAATTGGGCTTGGACAGGCATGCAGCTGTGGCCTAGAACTGGACGGGGGAGCCTATTCCCATGCCCAATTTCTCCTTCGATTTCTAACAGTGGATGGCCAAGCTGTTCATGGATCAGTTCCTCAATCACTGCAGTTTTCAGCCCAGGGTGTTAAGGAAAAACAAAGTAAAAACTAGAAGCGGTTCA